GGCAGCCATTATCCATGCGGTCATCCAGGTGAATCTGAACCTGGCTCTCTCCTCATCACCGCATGCTGCAAGAGTGCCCTGCCTCCAGAGGAAACAACAAGCACCTCTGGATGATGCGAGTGAGTAACCTACTAGAGATCCGATCAGATATTTAGCTTCAGTAACTCAGATGCGTGTTGAAACGGCTACCTCAGCCACCCTGGTTTGCTCTATGGGATTCCTTTGATATTCCTGTAAGATTTCTATGATATTGCTCTACCTTTTACCCTGTTTCTGCCCTACCCCTGTAATCAATAAAGTTCTCCTTTGTGACCGGTGTGGAGACTTATTGAGGGGTGGGACTAAATTATGCCAAGGAGGCCCCTGAGGTCTGTGGACTAAGGGAGGCTTCCTAATAAGCCCCTGACTTGGGGAAGTGCCCCAAGTGCTTGTACTGGGTCTAGCACCCATTGGACGATCAGGCCTGTGTTTTCCAAGGTGCACAGAGCCAGAAGTGAGTCCAGAGCCTTGGATGGTGGCAGCGGGAACCCCAGGCTAGCGGGTGTGCTCCAGGGAAGGGGTCGGCCGGACGGGAGGCACCCCACGGGAGGCACTCGGAGCCTGGAAGATGGTCGGGCACAGGGAGGTGGGCGGCTCAACGCAGGAGCGCCCCCTACTGGCCTGCCACACAGGCTACCAAGTTTTCTACTGCAGGTAACTCTGCACTGAGGCTTGTGGTTATACCATAGTGCTCTGCTGGTGCTCTCCACATGGCTGAGAGAACTCACTTCCACTCCTTCTGATCTTTTCTGCTGCAGGATTTCATAACTGCAACATCTTTTCAATACTCTGAACATCCTGGAAGTGGTGCATACTACTACCCATTCTGGACTGGATTGTCATACAACTCCAGAAAGGGGATGTGGGTCTGGGCGGATGATTCAGCTCTGTCCTCTAGCCTGTAAGTCTGTGTCACTAGGGCAGTGATTCCCAAACTTTTGATTCCAGGTGCACACTTTTTAAAAATTAAAATGGGCAGCACACTTCACTCTTACGCCCAAGAAGGTGTGTGTGTGCATGTGTGTGTGCATGTGTGTGTGTAAGGCCCAGATTCAAAACATATGCAAGATGCCATTCCCTTGTGAAAGGAAAGCACACCAGCGCTGAGATGGGCTGTTAAAAAAATGACCTGCTCCCTGCTTTTCCATGGTGTTCAACTCAGGGGGTAAGGTCAGCCTCTTGTGTTGAGGCTGTGTCCTGAAGTTTTTTACATGCCTGCTACTACCCACTTGGCACCTCATGCTGGCCTCAGGAGTGCTGGAAGGGTTGAGGGGATGAGCTGTTCTGCTTAACTGTAGCAGAACATACTGCTCAGAGCATTGCAGGGAGGGGATGTGGGCTGCACAGGCACAGGGGCTGCCTGCTAGTAGGGAAGGGTTGGGAAAGGCAGCAGCAGCAGTGACAGTCACCTGGGGGCCCAGGTGCTGTGCCTGCTTTTGATGATAGGACTCAGATTCTACGATGCCCAGGGTAAGTGTGAGCGACTACTGCCCTCTGAGCAGGCCTGGCAACCTTTCCTCATGTGTGAGCTTCCAGGGCCCTCATTGTCCCTATCATGCTCCTTGTGCGCTAACCTATATATCAAAGGACCTGACTGTCAACAAGTTTACACTGGTGAAATCTTCAGGGGCAGAAAATGCCTCCAGATATATGAAGTTGAGACTTTCTCCATGCTTGTAGTTGCTGCGCAGCTGGATTCTGCAAAACTCATAGACAAAATGGGGGTACAGGCACTATTTTAGACAATTTATTTTACTTCTTTGCATGCAACTTGTAAAAAAAAAAAATGTAAGAGTCAGACTTGTTCCATTATTAGAAATTTCATTTTTGGTTCAAACCACCAGGTCAGGGGGAAAAAGCTCACACCTGAATATTTCTTACATAAATGAAATTCCTCAGCATCTTGTATCAATGCCTGGAAATCCTGGGAACCCCAGGCCCATGGTAAGCCCCTAAAGATGCCATGAAATAACCTGGAAGCCTTCAGAGCCCAGACTACACGATTTCCACCAGGTGGGCACCCCCTTATATCTCAGTTTTTCTGGGTTCTCCATATGGAGCACCAAAGAAGCAGGTGGCAAGGTGATCTGGAAGGAAACCAGGCAGGTTGCACTGGATGAGTGTACACATGCAAATGCTGCTGGATGGATTTACTCCACAGTAAATTACTGAGAATATACCCAGCCTGGCAGGTATCTACAGGTGCAGGCATTTGGGAGCATGTTTTCTCTCTCCCTGCTCTCCCCCAGGTATATCCCAGGGCATGGCAGGAGGCAGGGTGCCAGAAGGTAGATATCACCTGGCACCAGGTTGCTCCCAGCTCCAGATCAGTTTCAGGAGACTTGGAAACATCTTTTGGGGTGGGGAAAGTCCCAGCCCCCTACCCAGATCAGCCAGTGAGGCAGCTATCACTGATCCCCCAGCTGGCCAAGGGATTCTCAGCCAAGCCAGGGGCTCACTGCTAGCTGCCCCATTGGCAGATTGGGGCACAAGGCTGGGACATGCCGCTCCCCTGAAGCACATTCAAAGCCACATGCCTCGACAGCTCTATCTGAGCATGGGGCT